GAACTCGGCAAGATATCAGCTTTTGAATACACTGCCTTTCAAACCCCCGTATGAACCGTACTCGGCACAAAATTGACTGCTTAGGTAGCATGCATCTTCGTCATTGATTTTCGATGATATTGTAAATTCAAATATATTTTGTAGATAGCATGCACACAAATATGTCTTCTTCTACTCGTTAGGTAGAAAATCACGTTGGCTTTACATTTCATATCCGAAGAAAGTGTACATTTAGGTTGTGAACAAGTTTCGCATTATGAGATTTTTTAAGACCATACGGTGTCCATTCATATAGCACCGTACCTGTCCGTTTCCCATTGCTCCTCGTGAAATGTACAACATAATTCGCATCCATCGCAAGATTTTATGGACTCTATATGAAATGTTTGTAAAGGCATAGAAGAATATGTGATTTTCTCTACGCGAAGCGCATGCATTTTGTAGACTGAAATCACTGAGCGCCAATGCAACGACTGATCACGTTCCAAATTATTCAGCAATTAAGAAACTTCTTAAAAAACCTAATCATACTCCTTCTTCGGGTATAAAATATAACGTTGACGTTATTCTCTATCAAACGAGTAGAAAAAGAGCATATTTCTCTGCATGCTTTCTACAGAATGTATTTGAATTTATAATACCATCGAAAACCAAGGAAGAATATGCCTGTAACCTAAGTGGCCATTTTGTGTCGAGTACGGTTCCTACGAGAGGTTGAAAAGCAGTGCATTCAAAAGCTGACATCTTGTCGAGTTCAAAGTATCATAGTATTATGTCGCAAGTGAAGTTGTATTACAACCGTGCCTAAGTAATCTTTCCTAATCGGAAACGCAATTCAGAATTTCAGCCAACATTTGTGGAGATCCATCACTCACTGTATAACTGAAGTTCACAATTATCGGAGAATATGACCGTATGTAAGATAACTAAAATAACTCTACCATTTTTGACTCTCAATCGCCTATTACCAAACGCTTCAACAGAGCCACGATTTCAGCAATTTATCGTCAAGGTCCAGAACGTCGATTGTTTTGTCCTTGAAGTCTTAGTGGTTTTGAATACCACTATATGCAAGTCTTAACTAGTTATCGAAGTGATACACTATACATAAAATAGGTACATAAATCTTTCGCTTCAGAAGTAGGATTTCGGCTAAAAATCCTAGGTTGTCTTTTGATCATAGAGTATCTAATACGATAGTTCCGAATAGCTGTTTTCCAATATTTTACCGCCCCAATCCCCCGAAAAAAGCTGATTCACACTAGCCAATCCGTTGTGCTAAACAGCGTTCGCACCTGCCCTACCGAAAAGTAACGAATGGTCTTTAGCTTCCCTTTTACGTTTATTGCTGAGAAATGACCTCACGAACATTTCTGCGATAGTTCAAATAGTTCTCACGATACTATCTTTGTCAAAAGAAGTATTGGAGCCTCCAATTTTTCTATTGATTAATTAAATTGTGTGCTAGTTGGCTTATTATATTTCATAACGTATGTTTTGCGGATTTGCTCCATTCAAGGTTTCTATCTATATAAAACAGTTCCATTTATTAGAGAAAACGGTCACAGAAAAAACGCTGATTGAACATTTACAGATTGGGTAAGTTCAGTATTCCTTTCTTCTGGTTACGAAGTCTGATAAGCAACACCTATACATGCTCATGCTGGACATTGAAGACCATATGGGAAGGTAACCTCTTCGGTCGAATGAATTTCTTAATTTTTATATGTTCAAGAACCCATGAGTCTATCCGACCATCTGATGGAATTGTCATCTTCTTTATGTACACGCAACCTATGCTTGCAATACTTGGCCTAATTGGTAAATTTTAAAAACCTATATATCAGAGAAAATTTCAAATTTTCACATTTTTAGTGTCGAATTACCTGCTTATTTACGACTAAAGTAAGAATTTGAGGATAGAATAAACCTAGAACGCAGC